ATCCCGCGGCCCTCCCGCGCAGTGTCCTGCACGGACGTGCTGCGCGGGAAGCGTCCCTCCAGCAGCGATGCCAGCTTCTCATCCTCCCCTGCGGACAGAGGCGTCCAGAGGCGCGTGAGGCCGGCCGGGAGCCGGAGCTAGGCAGGGGTGTCCGGCTCTGAGCCTCAGGCCCAGGCTGGCGGGCCAAGGTCCCCATGACGAGGTCCCGCTGAGGAGATGACCCAGAAAGGATCTCAGATCCTGGCGGGGTGGGACGCTCGAGGGTGGAGGCAGAACTGCAGAAGGTTCTGCCACAGGCTGAGAAGGCTGGGGGAACCAGAGGCAATTGGGAAACCCTAGTGGTAGGTTGGGGTGGGACTCGCAAAGGGGGGAGCCCATCCAGAGTGTCAGTGGACAGGTGAGCATAAACACCGGGGGGAGGGCTGGACACAGTGAGGGCCAGGAGCCAGCTCACCTCCTTCACTTGAAGCCTAACCCCCTCCTCCCCAGAGGCTGAGACAAAGCCCTCCACTACTGCTGCCCAGTAGCTGGGGTGCAGGAAAGGCTGGACAGCAGGATGATGGGTGGGTGAAGGTGGCCACCCTGACCGGCTCTTGTCCGTGTGACCTCAAGCCTGAGCCCCACCACCATCCTCTCTGGAGGCCCCACTTGCCCCATGCAGCCAGACCCAGGGCCCCAGCCCTGCACCCCCAGGTGGCCAGGGCCCTCGTCAGCCCCACAGCACTGGGCCTCTCCTGAGGGGATCAACAGGCTGTGCTCCCGGTACCACCTGTGTGGGAGCCGTGCCCTGGGGCTTCTCAGATCGCCCCACCCCCACCCCCAGTGCAGGTGGGAGCTGAGTGTTTATCTGGTCCCGGAAAGGACAGAAGTTGGGGAGGAGTGCTGTGGGCATTGGGTGGGCCACGCTACCCCTCTGCCTCAGTTTTCTCATCTGTAAAACTGAGGTATTCACAGTACTTACCTGGGCATCAGCAGCCCATGCATGCCACAGGGGGATGAGGGTGCGGGGTGGGGTAAGGGAGCAGGTAAGGGGTGGGTAGCGAGTGAGAAGAGGCTGGGAACAAACCAGCATTCAGGGCCAAGTTGAGCAGAGCCCCTGGGAGGAAAGAAGCCAAGAGCCAGGGCAAGGCCAGGGTTCAGAGGCCGGCAGAGAAACTAGTGTGGGTGTGGACAGCAGCAGCAGGGCCAAGGGGGAGGTGGGGCTGTTTTTGAGAAGCGTCTGCTGGAAGAGCGGAGGGAAAGGGAGCAATGCTCGAGGGGGAGGCGGGTTCCAGCGAAAAGTATTTTTAGGATCAGAGACTTAGCGTGCACTTTGCTGAACAGGGAGCAGCCAGCAAATGAGACACAGATGGAGAGAAAGGGCCGTGGGGTCCTGGGGGGGCAGCCGTGGAGGGGTCCACAGGAGGGGTCAGGGGTCAGGGCTGGGGTGCTGCAAGATGTCTTCCAGCCACTGAACCCATAGATGTCCCAAAGCCCCACAGCCCCACTGGGTGCCTGGGTGGGTACCCAGGGAGGAGAGGGGCTGGGTGGAAATTGGTCATCCCTCTCAGAAGGCAGGATGGGGGTGGGAGTGACAGAGGGAGGCCAGGTGACAAGGAAGGGAGAGCCGGAGAGTGAGAGTGGATGTCATCAAGCCCTAGACCCCACCCAGATTCCGTAACCCATGCTGGCCCCACCCCAGCCCCACCTCCCGCACTCCCACCTCCAGCCTGGCCGTACCTACAGACTTGGTTCGAGGCAGCCCCTTCCGCAGCGAGCCGGGCAGCTTCTCCGGGCCGGGAAGGCCCTGACGCTCAAACAAGGACTGTGGGGTCAGGGTGACAGGCAGGTTCTGGGGCCTCTATTCTCTCAGCCCTACCCACCCTTCCTCGGAGGCAGAGCTCAGATGCCACCCTGAACCCAGGAATCAGTCCAGCTGGCTGCACTGTGGTGCCCAGGGCAGGAGGAGGCTGCAGATCCTTCCCCTCCAGAGTGGGTCAAAGGGCTGGACCCAGCAGGACCCCAGTTCCTGAGCCTAGGATTTCCAGCCCCCACAGGTGCTGCTTGGGTATTTGCAGAGTAATTATGTAAGACCCCAGGGGACACGCAGCCACAGCATATGTTGTACAAGGTCTCAGAGTTCAGGGGTCCCATGTGGGGGTGGGTCTTAGGGGTTGGGAAGGGACCACCTTATGCCCCTCAGCAACTCTCTACCATGCCCACTCACGCTGATCTCGGCCGGCGTGATCCTGCGGCTGGTGGGCCGTTGCTTGACGGTGGCTGCTCGTGAGTCGGCGTCTGAGATGTCAGGCCTCAGGGTCGGTTCTGTGGCCGCAGCCAGGATCTCGTCCAGCTTCTCTGCATGGCCAAACGGGCACTGTGTCAGCACGGACCTCAGGGCCCCCTGCCCACATTCCCAACACGGACCTCAGAGTTCCCTGACCCCATCCCCAGAAAGGACCTGGGGGTTGCCTGCTCACAGACCCTACTGCCCCCAGCACAGACTTCAGGGCCTCCTGCTTGCATCCCCAGCGTGGACCTCAGGTCCCCTGTCTGTGTCCCCAGCATGGCCTTCAGGGCCTCTTGCCTGTCTCCCCAGCATGGACCCCAAAGTCCCATGCCCCTGTCCCCAGCATAGACCCCAGAGGCCCTTGCCTATGTCCCTGGCACAGACCTCGGGAGCCTACCTCTGTCCCTGGCTCGGGCCGCAGATTCACAACCCCAGGAGCCCTACTCTGTCCAATCAGGTGGCTCTGCCTGTGGATCAGCACCCGGTGTTTGGCAGCATCCTATGGCATCAGTACTGACCCTCACCCCCTGGTCCCACCAGCACCAAGCCACCCCCATCCCAAACTCCACAGGGGTGTGCCAACACCAAGGGTCAAGGCCAGTCACAGTGTGGGGCTGTCCAGACTCTCTGGCCTCTCCTCCCAGCCCCAACTCAGGGCCATCAGCTGTACCCCCTCAGTCCTCGCTCACTGAGCGGCCTTAACAAAGTCCAGCCCGGCTTAGCCTCGCTAGCCCCTGACCGACCCAAGCACCCCAGTGCCCTGGTGCCCTCTGACAGCAGGGCATAAGAGGGACGTGGCTACGGGCTACGCGAGGGGATGTGCACTGCACAGAGCCCAGATTCCAGCACAGGGACTCAAGCAATGCACGCACAGCAACCCTGGTGTCCCCATGCCCGGACACCGGGGGCTGCAGAGGGTGAGAGTGGGTAGGGACCTGGCCACCCCAGAGGGAGGGAGCAGTGCTGAGTGCCCAGAGTGAGGGATCTAGAAGGTTGAGTGGCCACACCCACAGCAAGGTAGAGAAAGCAGCAGGTTGAACTGACACAGGACCCAGGTCAGTAGGTGCCAGAGACCTAAGCCACCTTTGGCCCCATCTGCCACCCTCCTGGCTCCTGTGCACCAGAGTCCTGTGACCAGAGGGGTCAGCAGAGGCCAAGCCCTGCACCCACTCCAGATCAAACCTGGTGTCACCTGCATGGCTTGTGAGGACCTAGTCCAGTGGTTCTCAACCTTCCTAATGCCACGACCCTTTAATATAGTTCCTCATGTTGTGGTGACCCCCCCCAACCATAAAATTATTCTCTATTGCTACTTCATAACTGTAATTTTGTGACTGTTATGAATTGGGTGACCCCTGTGAAAGAGTCGTTTGATCCCCAAAGGGGTCTCGACCCATAGGTTGAGAACCGCCACTTAGCCAGAAAAAGGAGTCCCCAGAGACCACAGAAGCAGTGGAGTGAACAGATGCTGCCCACTGTGTGCCCTTGGCGTGGGATGGGTACTTTAATCAACTGTGCTTCTAGTCCCATCAGTGGGTGGGGTTAAGCAAATAAGGTGCTTGCAGCCCACCAAGGAGATTGGATAGCTTGCTAATAATGAAAATAAGGTACATGGCAGCCTTGTGGGCATGGGACCATGTAAATAGGTATGTGGAGCCCTAAGGAGGGGATTGGTCAGTATTGCCATCCAGCAAGGCATAAAATAAGTTGTCTCTGAGGCAAAAGGGTGTACCTCATTACCACCAAGAAGAAGATATTAGAGTGGGGCATCATGTCCTTCTCACCCCAGGTCCCTGTGATGAGAACCTCCCTGGCAATTGGAAGACTGGCTGGAGATGGGGGTGTAGTCGAGCAGCCGGTGGTTTGATCTGCTGATGTTTTGGATCTTAGCCCACTTTGTAATCACTCTGCTACCAGGGTTCCTCCCTCTCTGGGTGGGATTCTGAGGGGATGGAGAGATCTGTAGCACCTGCCTAGGCAGAGGCTGGGGTTCAAGAGGCCTAGGGGGCCGAGAGCCAAGCAGCCTGCCGATGGGCATGGCCAAGAAGCTGTCCTGACCTGCGAACTGTATCCTGATCATTCCTGATCCTGAACTGTAACCTGCTACTTCCCTAATAAACCCCACCACTGTGAGTATTGCGGGTAAGTTCCGTGTGGTCACAGCAATGAATGAATGAATGATCCAGCCCAGCAGAGAAGCAGAGTGCGGTAGGAGGAACAGCTGGTGTCGGGACCATCAAGATGCCAGAGGAGGCTGCCTGACCTCCAACCCATGGGGACCAGCCTAGGCTGTTGATGCTGATCATGATTCTGCTTGTTTGTGAGGTGAGAGTGGATCTGAAGCCCACCTGTCTGCTAGCCTTTCCTCATTGGGACAACCACTCCTTCACCCCTGTCTGAGCTTCTGAAGGCCAGGAAGTTCCTTTACCACCCAACTCAGCTCTGCGCCCCAAGGCCCTTAGCTGTGGTGAGCTGGTGGACCCCTGGTAACCTGCCCATCCTGTTGCCCCGCACAGGTACCCCAGCCATCCACCCAGTGCTTACAAGCGGCCCTCCACCATGACCCCACCATTTTTTCCAGAAGGCGACCAAGAGGAGAGTGCAGCCTGGACCTCTAGGGCCTGAATCTCTTGTCCCCAGCACACCCGAAGATGGGGTCAGACACAGCTGGGCTCTGGGACCCTGAGGCCCCACAGCAGATGACTCACCCCCTTTCCTTCTCCGAATTGAGGCTTGGAATTAAGAAACAGAGCAAAGGGGGTAAGAGGCAGCTTTATCCCCCCCACCCGGGCCCCATCTCCAAGCCCACACTTCCATCGGCACTCCCAAGCCCAGTGTCCTGACCTCTTCCCAGATCAAACTGCAAACGGCAGTGCTTCCACAATGCCAAATCGGTCACAGCTCAAAGCTCACAGAGGAGCAGCCCACACAACACATGTACACGCACATACACACACACACGCACATGCACTCATGCAATGCATACATGTCCTGCGTGTACAGTGTAGGCAGTCGTGCATGTATGTCCACACATGCATATGCACACACACGTACAGAGAATTCCTTCACAGTTAGATCATTTCCAGTTTAGTTTAAATGTCTGTTCAGAAAAGGAGAACCTCTATAAAAGCCAGGTGCCCAGGGTGATCACCAGAGTCTGTGCAGGGACCTGCACCAAGGGGGCCAAGGATTCCCCAACTGAGGCAGATCAGGAGACCCCATGGTTGGTGTGATGCCCCCCACCCAATGGGCTCTTTTCCTTTCTCATCACAAAAGGAAAGGGGCCCAAGAAGTGATACACAGTACAGTCAGGAGTTCAGTAAACCTGGGCAAGCAGTAGGGGCCATCCCCTGCATGGGCATGTACCAAGCCCTGTGGGCCCACAATGTCCTTGGCACAAGGCCAACAGATGGGCACATGGGGGCCAGGGGATCCCTCAGCAGCAGACACCTGCTGCTCATCCCAGGAGGAGGATCCCCACCCACCCTTTCCTCTCCGCCCCAGCCCCAAAGTTCCTATTCAGATTCTGCTCACATCCACGCCCAGTGTTCCCCTTACATCCTCTGAGCAGCACATGGCACCCTCCGGGATGTGGCACCCTTGCCATCTGCTTCCCTGCCTCACACGTCTGTTCTTTCCAGGTGCCCAGCCTCCTCCCGCAGCAGACAGCGGGGTCCTGGACATGTCCTCAGTTCGACCCTGAGTCACAAGGCTGAACCATCTTTACACGCACAACGGCTGGACTGTGGGTTGATCCTCAAGTACCCAAGGAGACTTCAGGGCTGGCCTGGTCATCCCCACACAAGATGTTTCCAGAGGAACTGGCTGCTCAAGAAGTTCCCTGAACAGGGCAATGGGTGGACAGAAGCTCAGAAAAGCTGGTGACAATGACGCTGAATTGGAGCCACAAAAATACAAATCTAGGGAGCGCTCAAGAGCAGCCATGCTGTGGGGCCAGTGGTACAGGAGGGGTGGGAGCCCGAGGTGGGGGAGACATGGGAAGGAGGAGCTGTTTCTGCACCCTGGTCTCAACTCTTCAGACTGAAACAGCTCTGAGAACAGACGGTAACTCTTCCAGTCCAAGAGGCAGGATCCCTAGTCCCAGGGCCACGGACACCAGGCCCCTCAAGTCTCTCTGTGCAGAATTAGGACAGCGCCTTCTGCACATGTAACTGAATGGGCCTATGTGACCATCTGTGCAGGAAAGTCCGGGGAACCTGCCCATCAGGGCCTTGGTGTGGTGTCCAGTCAAACCCAGCTGTCTGCTTGTGTCTGGTTTCTTGACCTCTTTGGATCTTCCTTCAATGTAACAAGTCAGGTCGCTGAAACTGGCCCTGGTCCCCCTCAGACTTGGGCCAGAGGATAGCTTCTCTGTCTCCCTCTTGAATGTGTGGGTTTAAATAGCTATAGAATTCTAGAAGGAAATTTATTTTCAAGCTATTTTACCAGAAGATTGAGGATGTATTGTTCCACCATTTTCTGCAATTTATTATTGCGGAAGAGAGATCAGCTGTCAGTGCCCATTACGCGTTCCTTTACACATCATCTTGCTTTCCTCTCTGGGAGATTTTACAGATTGTTCTTGGTAGTCTGCAGTGTACCTATCATGGATCCAGAAGTAGATTTGTTTTTATTCTCCTGCTCAAACAGGGAGGAACTTTGGTGGCAAGGTGTTTACAAATTGGGCTGTGATCCAAAACGTCAGCAGTTCAAACCTCTTTGAGTGTTGAATTCCAACTGTCAATTCCTGGACGGTTGCTTTTGACTAATGCATTCAGTGAAGTTTGAACGTCTTCCTTCAGCACCTCTGGTTCTTGCTCACATGCCACCGCCTGACATGGTGGAGTGCCGACGAGTTCTTTCTGGGACAGTGACTGTGCATTCTTTCCATTTTCTCTTGATGCTTCCTGCAGCGTTCAATATTTTTTCCTATAGAATCTTTCAAAATTGCAATTCAAGGCTTGAAATTTTTCTTGAGATCTTCCAGGTTCAGATATTCTCAGCATAGCAGCTGCCTTTACTGTCTGTCCCGCCCAGGGAGCTTTCCATCTTAGTGCCTGTAGTTTCCATTTCAATCAAAGTTCCTTTAGAGCCCTTCGAAAACCTGATTGTACTTTTTTTTTTTTGAGGGGGGGGGAATGTTACCTCTCTGTTCTTAAATTATGAGTTGTAATTTACTTTAATCCCAATAATTTAAACATCTTGTTTCATTCATATTTTTCTAATTTTACTCTTTATTTTACCTTCTTCTGTGAATTCCATGTCTCTTGAGGTTAATTCCAGTTCTTGGGCTTGGTTTGAGCTTTCTCACTTCCTATGGGCTCAGGGTGTTATTTCCTAAGTTCATGGAGGCATCAGATCCCAACCCCAGCCCTTAGGGTCTGTATCTAGTTCAAAGGTCTTGAGGACTGTGGAAGCACCTGCTTCCTCGTGCTTGCTTCCCTGGTTCGGATGACCCTCTTCATCTCTGAAGCGCAGGAGCTTCACTTTCTTCATGGCTCTGTGGGTGTATTTAGCTTATTTTATTCTCCCTGGGCTTTAAACGAACTCGCAACTCTGCCAGTCCAGCTCTCGCGGTGGTGTCCTCTGCATTCAACCAAGAACATGTCTTTGGGCTGAGGAGGTGCGATGCTCAGCCTGTGCCAGAACAGAGCCAAGGATCAATTCTCGTGCAAAGTCGGGATGGCTGTGGGAGTCGGGTTCCTTCAATGGCTCTAGGCAGAGCTGAGTCTGTGGCTCACACTACAGAAGGCAGCAATGTTATGGAAAGTCACATATGTCAGGACATGCTCACTATGAGGCAGTCAACACAAGAGAGGCTTTCAAAAGAGCACAGAAAAACAGAATTAAATGATAATGTAAGTTTCCCACAAACGTGTTGAAGCCCCTCCTGTGTCAGGACATGTCTGTGATCAGGTTGTCCACAGTCACACATATGACGGCATGTCCATGATGAGGCTGTTGGTGGTCACCTGTCAGGGCACACCCATGAGGAGGTCTCATCAAGAGCCTGACACCCTCTTCTTCACCCCCCATGGTGCACTCAGACTTTTCTCATCACGACACTATGGTCTCTCGACAGCCCTATGAGGTCAGAGCCATCGCCCCTGACTGATGAGTAGAGGGAGGGTGAAACCAAATGCAGTGGTCACCCAGAGAGCACCAGACAGAGCTGGGGGCTCCCACCCTTTCCTCCCCTGGGCTGCCTTCCCTCAACCAAGTGAGCTGCAGGAGTAAATCAGAGCAGAGCAGGCAACGCACGTGCACCCACAAGCACACACTGTCCACACACGCACATAATCATGTCCACACGTGTAGGGACACATACATACCACACATGCATGTAGATTCACACAACTACACACACATGAACACAGATAGGTACAAGCACATACTACCTACACATGCACATAAGCATGCCCACGTGTGGGCACACATGCATCAAACACACATGTAGACTTGTACATGCATCTATAGACACACAGACATGAACACATGCAAGGGCATACATGCACACATACATGTATTGCACATGCACATATATGAGGAAAAACCTAGGGGACCAGGCCCTGGTCCCAAAACACATCTGTCCAGGTCATTCCAGTCCTGCGCCAGTGCTGCCTGGTCCCTGAGCCCCAGCCCACCAACAGCCAAGTGCCCACCATGGCAGCGGGTCATGCATTTGCCCTCTGACCTACTCATAGGACCCCCGTCAGTCCTTGCCCATCCCTTCATCTCCGCCCACCACCGCCCCGCCGACCACTCACCGAGCTCCTCCAGCTCGGCCGTCATGGACTTGGAGCGCAGGGTCAATGTGGTGCTGGGGGCCCTCTTGGGGGGAGGCGGGGCTGCAAAGAAGAGGGAGGCTTTGGGCCTCCTGTCCAGCAGCAGGCGGCGTGGCGTGGCCAGGTGCAGGTGCCACTTGCGCTCCACCGCCTGGACCTCCTCGTACTCCCGCGAGGAGGAGTCGCACTGCGCGAGGATCTTGTTGAGACTGCGGCTGGATGCAAACTTCTTCATGTCTCAGGAGCTCAGGGGCCCCAGGGCCAGGGCCCCCGAAGGGAAGTCGAGGACCCCCGTGGGGATGACTGCGTCTGGCTATAGCGGGGGCACCTGCCCTGCCAGCTCCCTGGGCCGGACCAGGAGGCACCAGGAGGCCATAGAGTGGGGGCTGGGGAGGGTCTCTTCACAGGCCCTGCACTGCCTGTCCCTGGGCAGCCCTGGACCCAGGTGCCCCCCCACCTCTGCTCCCCGGAGACGCAGGGTGGCCAGCCGGAGCTGGGGTCCTGGGCTTGGCCGGCCAGCAGCACCTCCTGGGTCCAGGCTGCGGCTGTGGCGGCGGCGGCAGTGATGGTGGTGGCGACAGCGGCGGCGGCGCGGCAGCGACAAGAGGCTTCTCCTCCCCCTTCAGGTGCCGCCTCCCCCTTCCCTCCGACAATAAGGCGGCAGTGCAGCGTCAACCTCACGGTTGCTATGGCAACCCCGGCCTCCAGGCAGCTTGCTGCCTGTGTCAGAAGGAGGGCGGCCACCACACCAGGGGCTGGGGGAGCGGGAGAGGCAGGCAAGGGCCCCAAGAAGTCAAGGAGACCTGAGGAGGGGGGGACCTAGTTCAGGGATCAATGACCAGGGGCCAGCAGTCTACCATAGAGGATGGGGTTGGGGCAGCAACCCGGGTCCCAGGACTCTGGCCGTGGTTGACATGGGTGGGGAAGCCTCACCTTGGTGCTGAGGACCAGCAGTCAGGAATCAGGGTGGGGGAGCCTGAGCTCCCCTCAGGACCCAGAGCTCAGATGCCAGTGGTCGGGTGGGGTTCAGGGTGAGGGAGCCTCACCTCAGCGCCAGGCCCTGATTCCCTTCCAACCCCCTCCAACCCCCACCTAATCGGGGCCCAGGACTCAGACACAGCAGTCAGGTGGGGGTCAGGGTTGGGAGCCTCACCTCGGCGCCGAGCCCCATCCTCCTCAGGCTTCCTGGTGACTGACACGACCTTCATGACAAGGCGGTTCCCTCCCTGGCGGATCAGGGCCACCACCTGCTTGTGGCCCACCTTCACCACGTTCACTCCGTTGACCTGAGGACACGTGACAGGGCTGTTCAGCTGCTCCAGAGTGGGGGTCAGAATGGGGTCAGGTGGCTGGGGCTGGGCAGGGGGGTGGGGCAAGTGAGGGTTAGGGCCAGGGCCGGGGTCAAGGTCAGGGCTGGGCCAGTGGAGCCAAAGGCTGAGGTTAGGACCAGGTGGGGGAGCCAGGGCCAGGGCCAGGCCTGGGGTCAGGGCCAGGTCCGGGTCCTGGTCCGGGTGGGGCAGACGGCGCCCGCCTTCACCTCGATGAGGAAGTCCCCCGTGCGCAGCCCAGCCCTCCAGGCCACGCCCTCCACGTCCACAGACTCCAGGTACTGCAGCGCAGGGAAGGCAGGCGTGGGCGTGAACTCCTCGATGGGGGTCTCGGCTGCAAAGGGGCGGCACAGTCACCTCCCACAGGGAATTAACAGGGCAAAACAGAAGATTGTGGGGCACAGGGAGCTAGTCAGAGACCAGCAGGGGAACTCCCCAGTGCAGTGCCCCAGAGTCCTGGCTCATGTGAAGTGGCATTTCCCCATGTCTCCCCGCCCCCCTCCCCACAGTAAGATGGGGTGACTTGCACTCAGTAGTCACTACCCCAGCAGAGCGCTGAGGGGGTCAGTCAGGAAAAGGGGTGGGGGCAAAAGTCAGGAGAGCCCATCCATAAGCACCCCCCCACCCCACCCCACCCCGCCACCCTTTCCCCAACCCCCCCAGCACCTTTAGCCCCACGGAGCACAAAGCCAAAGCCCTCATGGTCCCGTTTCTGCAGCACAGACACCTTGTCCTCGATGACGTAATCACTGGAGGAGCACGGAGAGCGAGAAGCTGGCCACAACTTTCTGCAACTTCCAGGGACGAAACTGCCCACCCCCACCCCTCTGACCACCATACATACCCACCCTCCCTGACAGCCAGCCAATGCCGCTGCCTGCCCTCCAAGTAGCCGTGAGGCCATGACTCTGCCCTGCCACAGCTCCAGTGTGCCCCTGCCCCCCACATTCCCGGTGTGCCCCCCTGCCCCGACCGCAGTACCTGTGGGAGGTGAGGCTGTCGTAGGAACCCACAGTGTAGTGGCGGAAAAGCCGCTTGGTCCGGTCCTCTCGAGTTTCTGAAGGGAGTTTCAGGAGCTGATGGAGGGGTCATGTCCTGCAACCGGACTGAACTGCCCCCATTGTGCCAGAGGCCAGTCTGCCCATACACACCCATGTGTGTGCAGACAGGGTCCCAAAACCTGGGCCCAGGAGCCCAGGAAGGCTGGGGGAGACAGAAGGCCTGTGGGAATCCTGGGCTCTGGGTGTACTCATGGCTGCCCCTGACCTTGGTCGCAGTCGTGTGAGGGCTGGGCTCATGTGTGTGCTCGTCTATTACCTAGCTGTGTGTGTGAGGGCTGTGGTCGTGTGTGTACATGTGATCTAGATGTGTAGGGGCTGTGCCCACGTGTGCATGTATGACTCAGCCATGCAAAGGTTGTGCTCAAGTGTGCGCACGTCCATAACCCAGCTGTGTAAGGACTGCATGTGTGTGCCCAGCTGTGACCCAGTTGTGTCTGTGTGTCCCTGGCCCAGCTGTGCAAGGGTTCTGTGTATGTATGTTTTCATGACCCAGCTGTGTTAAAGGGTGAGTGTGTGTGTCCATGATCCATCTGTGTGTGTACGGGTCATGTTCAGATGTGTACATATGTGTAACTGCCAATGCATGACCCTGCTGTGTAAAGGCTCATGTGTGTGCACATGTGCCCATTCCAGCGCCAGCTAGCTAGATGTGTAAGGGCCCAAATGTGTGCATGTGCGTATCTATCTGTGTGTATCCAGATGTGGGTAGAAGGGCTATCTATGTACATGTGTGCCTGTCCGCGACATAGCTGTGTAAAGACTGTGTGTATGTTTGTGTCCGTGCCTCAGCTGCATTTTTGAGGGTTGTGTCTGTGTCCTTGGCCCACAGTTGTGTGTGCATGGGCTGTGTTCATGTGTCTGAGTGTTCCAAAGTTGTGTAAGTAAGGCAGTGGTGAGTGCAACAGCTATGTATGTGTCTGCAACCAGAGTTGTGTAAGGCCTAGGCTCATGTATGTGTCTGTGATACAGCTGCTTGAAGGCTGTTTGTGTCCATGATTCAGTTGTATGTACAAGGGTTGTTTCTTTATGTGTACCCATGTCCCACTGTCTATGTGTATCCATGTATACCATGTATGTGTTTGCCTCACGGCTGTGCTCATACGTATCCAGGACTCAGTTGTGTGTATAATGATTGTGTGTGTCTATGACCCAATTGTGTTAGGGCTGTACTTATGTGTGTGTCACACAGCTGGGTAAAAGGTGTGCTCACATGTGCCCATCCACAACTCAGTTGGGTAAGGGCTGTGTTTGTCCCTGACTCATGTGTGTGCAGGCATGTCTGTGGCCAAGTTGTGTAAGGACTATGTTTGTGTGTATCCATGACCCATCTATGTGCATGTATATGTATCTGTGACCCAGCTGTACAAAAGCCTTTGTGTGTGTGTGTGTGTGTGTGTGTGTGTCTGTGATCCATGTGTCTGTAGCCCAGTTGTGCACGGACTATGTTTGCGTATGTGTCCATGATCCATGCATGTGCATGTGTCTCTGACCCAGTTGTGTAAGGGATACTTCTGTATGTCCATGACTTCTGTGTGCATGCATGTGTCCATGGCCCATGTTTATATCCATGACTGTGTTGTATGTATAAGAGCTATACATGTGAGCATGTGTCCCATGGCTGTGTAAGAGCTGTCTATGCTCATATGTATGCATGTATGTGTCTGAGTGACCCACTGTGTGTATAAGTCCTGTCTTCATGTGGGTGCATGTGTCTGTGGGTTCATGGCCCACAGTCATATGCAAGTGTCACGCCGTGTCCCCACAGGCACAAATGCTCATGTGTGTGCCCGTCCCTGGGCCCCTCATGACAACAGATCCCCTTGCCCTCAGCTCCTCAGGATCCTTGCTCTAGGCTCCAAGAGGGGCGGGAGCCCATCAGTGCTTCTACAGTACGCCGCCCAATATGGCCTCTTGCTCTCAGACACCACATGTCACAGCGAGGTGATCCCCTGTCCCCACCAGCCTGTGAGCTCAACCAGCTGCAGTGCCGAGCCCACACTCCTGCTTCCCCAACACTGGAGTGAAGCCCCCTCCTGGCTCCCCAGCACCTCAGCCCCGAGGCCCCAGGGGTTCCACCTCAGCCTACAAGACCCCAGCATCTCCCTCGTCCTCTCTCATGAGCAGTCTCCAGATCCCATGGCTCATTGCGGAGCTCCAACTGTGGCCCAAGCAGTTTGCTTTGGCTCCGGGAATACAGCACACATGAGACCCACATCTCTCTCCTCATGGAGCTGATGAGCTATTTGGGAGAGAGAATAAGCTAACCAGAAATAAGTGAAGCCAGAAGGCACCAGGTGCTGACAGGAAATGCTGATAAAGAAACGCACACAGAGAAGGGTGCAGGGGCTGTGTACAGTTTGGTGGCCACAGGAGGCGGGTAGCACAAAGGTGTGAAGGGTACCTTAGTACACACCTGAGGGCCAGTGGGGAGGATTCTTGGCAGGCATTTGCCAGTGGGCAGTGAGGAGCCCAAGGGGCTGGGGCAGTAGGAAATTAGATTGAGGGGGGCCCACAGTGTTTGAAAACCTACCTCCCCAATAACTGTGGGCCCCTTGAGGGGACAGGCCACACTTTATTTTGTCTCTGGTCCTGGTGCCAAGCACTGGGTCTGCAGGCAGTCAAGATGTTGATGAGAGGAACAAATGGATGAGCAAACAGATGGGTAGGTGGAGAAAGGGCACATGAGATGGGCAGATAAGTATGTGGCTGGGTTTGGTGAATAGGTCAATACATGTGTGAATGGGTGGGTCAAAGGATAAATAAACATGTGGATGAATGTATGTATGTATGTATGGAAGAATGGATGGATGGGTGGTTGATGGATGGATGAATGCGTAGATGGATGAAAATGGATGGGTGGGTAGATGGGTGTATGGATGAATGGGTGGGTGGATGGGTGTGGATGGATAGGTGGATGGATGGATGGATTAGTGAGTGAATGGGTGGGTGGATGGTTGATAGATGGATGACTGGATGGGTAGAGAAGTGGGTGAGTGGGAGTGAGTGTATGTATATATATATGTATGTATGTATTAGTGGATAGATGATGAATAGGTGAATGAATGACTGGGTGGGTAAACAGGTGGGCAGGTAGGTGGATAGGTGGGTAGATGGATGGATGGATGGATGGATGGATGACTGGGTGGATAGACAGATGGATGGATGGATAGATAGAAGGAAGATGAATGAGTAGATGGGTAAATGGATGGGTGGGTGGCGATGGATGAGTGGGTGGGTTGATGGATGGATGAATGAATTGATTGATGGATGAGTGGATAGATGACTGGGTGGGTCACGCGTACGTGAATGGGAGGGTATGAATGTATGGATGGATGTATGGATGGATGAATGGATGGATGGATGGCAGATGGGTGGATAGACAGGTGGGTGGGTAGGTGGATGGATGGATGGATGAGTGAATGGGTGGATGGATGGTTGATGGATGATGGCTGGATGGATGGGTAGACAGGTAAGTGAGTGGGAGAGTAGGTGTATGTATGGATGGATGGACTAGTGGATGGATGGGTAGGTGGGTGGATGGAAGATGGGTGGATGGGTAGATGAATGACTGGAGGGAGACAGGTGGGTGGGTGGGTGGGTGGATGACTGGGTGGGTAGGTAGGTGTATGGACAAAAGGATCTGTCCATGAGTTGATAAATGAGCAGATGGAAAGCAGGACTGGGGGTGAGTCAAAGGACAGTAGAAGACAAGAGTGGATAGGTGGATAAATGGGTGGATCCACTAAAACTAAACCCATTTCCATGGAGTTGATTCTGACTCAGAGTGATCCTACAGGATGGGGCAGAGCTCCTCAAGGTTTCTGAGGCTGTAAATCTCCACGGGAGCAGATAACTCCATCTTTCTTCCCCCGAGAAGCTAGCGGATTTGAACCCCCAGCACCTGTGGTTAGCAGTACAATGCTTATCCCACAGGCATCTATTAATGCCAGAAGCACAGATGCCAGGAGGAGGGCTTCTCTGGAATCTAACTGTGACCCTCAGGAAGCCTGAGCTGAGGGTATCCTTCAAGGAGTGAGAAGCTAGCCTGGTGGGGCCCACATGTCCTGGTACCTCCATCCTCCAAGCCTGGTGTGCTCCTAGGACTCACCTCTCTCTTCTTCCCAGCACACCAGGGTGGCCACACACACTCAGAGCCCACAGCCAGAGCTGTCAGGGCCAGCCATGGTCCTGGGGTTGACATCAGACCTCCAATTCCCACCCTCTGTGCCACCCCAGGTGTGGGAGGACCTGTGTCACTGCCTGCCCACGAAAGGCTCTTGAGCTTTAAAGTTCATGGTTGTGAATGTTACTGACCAAACCCATGGCATGGATTACATAACACATTCACTTAACCAGACACACAGAAGCGGAAGCAAAAACACCAGCCTGACCTCACGCAGCCGGCAGCCAAACACCCAGGAAGGAAAGGAGGTCGGGAGGACAGGGTGGCGTCCCATGCCACCAGCAGGCATCTGCTCCCAGCCTCCAGTGACCTCTCCTTTCCCTCTTTCCATCAGTCAACTTCACAGATACAGTGGCCTGCCAAGTGGCCTGTCTACAAACTCCCTCCCCTAGCCCCCTGCCTGCCGCTCCTGCGCCTCCCTGGCCCCATTCCTGTCCTGGAAGCAAAGGGTTTGGACTCAGGCCTACTGGAAGCAGGTTTCTGCCCTGAGCTGCCCACTGTCCTCTGGCAGAACTTGGCCCCAGCTCAGGTCAGAGGATGCTCACCGTGACCTCTGCTGAGGATGGCAGGAGGGCACCATGCTCCTGGCCTTCCCCCAAACACACCCCTGCCCACCCCAAGAGCTGCTCCACCAGGTGTGGACACCCGGGCCTCCAGCTCCTCCACCAACCCCACTGAGTTAGCACCCTCTGCCCTCTGGCCCTGGGCCCCTCATTGCTCTGTCAGTCTCCACCTTAACCCCAGCCTCCCTCAGGCCTACTGCCCCCTCTCCCTCCTCCACAAAGCCTGGCCCCTGCACCCCTCCCTGTACCCACAAGCTCCATCACACCACCTGCCCAGGTGGCAGCTATGCATACATGACCCAGAGCCTCCAACGAGGCCAGATCAGGGGCCTGCCCCTCAGGCCTAGGATCTGGCCCCCCTGTACGTGACCATCTGAAGATGGACTAATAACAGGCTCACCACACAGGACCGCTCAGGACACCTCTTGTCAAAAAGCCTGCAGGGTCCAGGCACTCGGCACCATGAGAGCAACCTATGTCCGATCCCATCCCACACCTACACACACATTTGGGACTGCAGTCCACCTTGCCAAGGCTCGGCTCAAAGGTCAACTCTGCATGGACACCCTCCGTGGCTCCATGAGGCCCACACAGGGTCCCTCAAAGTGCACAGCCCTGCTGGCACCTGCATGCATGCACCACATGTCCACACTCTATCACATGATTGCAAGGCCCCCCACTGGAGCTCTGGTGGTGAAGGCCCCGCAGGCAACACACCACGCTCACTTACACAATGCAGACACCACACTGCCCTCACACACAATTCAGACACCACACATTGCCCTCACTCACACGACCCAGACACCACACACTACCCTCACTCACACAATCCAGACATCACACACCATGCTCACTCACACAATCCAGACACATCATGCCACGCTTACTCACACAATCCAGACACTACACACCACGCTCACACAATCCAGACACAACAAACTACCTTCACTCACACAACCCAGACACCGCACGCTGCCCTCACTCACACAACCCAGACACCACACACTGCCCTCACTCACACAATCCAGACACAACAAACTACCTTCACTCACACAACCCAGACACAACAAACTACCTTCACTCACACAACCCAGACACCACATGCTGCCCTCACTCACACAACCCAGACACCACACACTGCCCTCACTCACACAATCCAGACACAACACACTGCCCTCACTCACACAATCCAGACACAACACGACATGCTTACTCACACAATCCAGACACCACACGCCATGCTCACTCACACAATCCAGACGCAACATGCCACGCTCATACAATTCAGACACCACACACTGCCCTCACTCACACATCATGCCACGCTTACTCACACAATCCAGACACCACATGCCACGCTAACTTACACAATGCAGACACCACACACTGCCCTCACTCACACAATTCAGACACCACACATTGCCCTCACTTACACAATCCAGACACAACATGCCACGCTCACTCACACAATCCAGACACAACAAACTACCCTCACTCACACAATCCAGGCACAACACACTGCCCTCAGTCATACAATCCAGACACAACACGCTGCCCTCACTCACACAATCCAGACACCACATGCCACGCACATTCACACAATCCAGACACAACAAACTACACTCACTCAAATAATCGAGACATAACAAACTAACCTCACTCACACAATCCAGACACAACACGCCATGCTCCCTCACATGATCCAGACACAAGACACCACGCTCACTCACACAATCCAGACACAACAAACGACCCTCACTCACACAATCCAGACCCAACACACCATGCTCACATAATCCAGACCCAACAAACTACCCTTACTCACACAATCCAGACACCACACACCGTCCTCACTCACACAATCCAGACACCACACACTGCCCTCACTCACACAATCCAGACACAACAAACTACCCTCACTCACACAATCCAGATACCACATGCCACGCTCACTCACACAATCCAGACCCAACACACCATGCTCACATAATCCAGACCCAACAACTACCCTTACTCACACAATCCAGACACCACATGCCATGCTCACTCACAATCCACACACCACACGCCATGCTCACTCACACAATCCAGACACCACACACTGCCCTCACTCACACAATTCAGACACAACAAACTATACTCACTCACACAATCCAGACACAACACACTGCCCTCACTCACACAATCCAGATACAACAAACTGCCCTCACTCACACTATCCAGACACAACAAACTACCCTCACTCACACAATCCACAACAAACTACCCTCACTCACACAATCCACAACAAACTACCCTCACTCATACAATCCAGACACAACACGCCACACTCACTCACACAATCCAGACACAACAAACGACCCTCACTCACAATCCAGACACAACATGCCATGCTCACTCACACAATCCAGACACAACAAACTGCCCTCATTCACACAATCCAGACACCACACGCCACGCTCACACACATCCATACTCATACGCATCTAGCACAACGTGCCTTGGTCACACTATCCAGACATAATGTCACACTCTCTCACACGCACACAGATACAACACACCACCCTCACTCACACATCCAGACATAATCTGCCATGCTCACACACGTGCCATGTGCACATATGCTCTAGACATACCACATTCACAAGCGCAGACACACACCACACACAAGCACACATGCCACATATAGGCCCCGTGCCTTGACAACCACTCAGGCAGGGACCCCTTATCCCACCAACTCATGGGGGCAACAATGGCCTGCAAGACTCCGAAGTCCCCTGTAGGGCTGGGTCCAAGACAGACAGCACGCTCTGGCTAGAGGATCCAACAGAACCAGCTTCCTGCTTCACTGGCAAAAAACCAGGCACCCTGGAACTGGGCCGAGGCCTTTCCCCACCCGAGGGCAGACCATCACCTGAACATCCCTCACATGCTGCCTGTCTCGGCTCCCACTGAAGCCCCTCTGCACCTCACTGGCCTCATTTCCCCTTGGCTGGCCCCAGCCTCGCTGCTCTGCCCTCTCGGACAATCTGTCCACCTTGGACAGATGCCCCTTTCTCACTGTGGCTCCTTTACTTGCCCAAGCACCTACTGACCATGTGGGGTATGGGGGGCCAGCTCTAGGCCACAGGATGTATGCCCACTCAGCAGCGTTCTTACACATGTGTGGGCTCATCCGTGTTCTGCAGGCTTGTCATGTGTGCCCTCACTGTGTGGGGTGTGGGTGTTCCTTACACGTGTGTAAGTGTTGATACATGTGCAGAAGTAATGCTGGCCATGGGGGTTGCACACACTTCAGGGCATGTGTGACATGTCTCTTGTCTCTTCTGGGCCAACCACCATGGGGGCATAGGGGCCCTGAGCGGGGGCCCTCGGCTGGTCACTCACCGTGGCGCGTGTCATACTGCCTCATCTGCACCTCTTCCACGCAGTCGGCCGGGAACCAGCCCGTGCGGCCCTTCACGGTCCCCTCCCAGAATCCGCCCTCCCCAATGCTGAGCACTGGAAGGACAGAGCCGGGCAGGCGGTCAGGGCATGCTGGCCCCCAGGGTCTCTGGCCCACCCTCCCTCTCTCCCCAGATCCTCTGGGCCCCTCCCTAGCAAGGCTTGGGGACCAACGGGGAGGAGAGGAGAGAACAGATGGGAATGGCACAGGGCAGCATGTGGGGGACAGAGACGCAGATGGACAGACTTGGAGATGGAGGACAAGGAGGGTGGGACCTGCACCTGCCCCACCCCACACGCGGCTCTCCACCCACCTCTGAGAGGAGCCCCATCCTCACTGTTACACGCCCCCCCCCCCACTTGGTCACTGCCAGGAGTCGTGCATCATGCTGAGGGAGACCCATCCGTCCTCATAGCACTGCTGTGTCCTTCTCTCCGGTGGACATAGAGGACGCGGAAGGCAAGACCCTAGCACTGGCCCTGGTGCATCCCCACAGCCAGAGGGAGCCCTGGTGGCACAGAACTTCCTCCAGAAGGCCAGGGGTTCCCCCCAGACCCGCGGTCCCAGCACACAACCATCCGCGGACCATGGGACCACCCATCCTAGCCCAGCTCTGCGCAGTGACCAGGGGTGCTCCTCATGCCCCACGAAGGGCAAGGTCCCTGGCCTGGGGGCGCCGCACGGCCCCGCCCCCGCCGGCCCTCACCCTTCACGGCCTCGCCACGGTGCAGCGGGATCTCGCCCTCGCCCTGCGGGGTGTGCGCCTTCACCGCGATGAACTTGCGGCCGGGGACGGCGCTGTAAAGTTTCCGCTTCGGGCCCCGGGGCGGCGGCGCGGGGGGCGCGGGGGACGCCGGGCCAGGGCTGGGCGCGGGGCCAGGGCCGCTCG